ACCAGGACCAAAGGAAAGTGGAGCAGAGCACAGCGAGACTGGGTCCATCTCTGCCATTCAAACCGACTCGGGATCAACTAGGAAAAGCTCCTAAAATTTCCCCAAGCTAAAAAATTCTGAATTTATTACATGTAAAATCAAGTTTACGACCTTAAACCATAATCTTCTCCAGAGCTTAATGAGCAAAGACTTGAGCAGCCACCAAGACTTAAGCACCACAATAAGGAGCAATACAACTATCAAAAGGACTTAAATTCAAAGGCAGATGCAAGATGCTTCCCCGCCAGCAGGACACACTGCTTGTTCCCCGTCTTTAAGAAGAAAGAGACGTATTTCAGAGGACCGACAGTCTCCTGAGGTTCCAATCTAAACCCAACCGATGGGAGCCGACTGCTGCCCGGCTGAAACAGGCCCAATACCGCTGCTGCTGTACTCACAGGACATGGTGTGCACCCCGTCGCTCATCATCATCCGGAACCGGACCGGCCCGGCGCTGCTCTCGATGCGCCGGATGTTCTGGTTGGGAGGGGGGAGGGGACACAGGTCAGATCTCAGCGATGCTGCAACAAGGGCAAACAGATCTCTGATCTCGGATCAGATGGGTCCGTACTCACCACCACCTGCAGGACCATGTTGGGCACGTCGCTGCCCTTGGTCAGAGCCTGGGGGGACAGAGAGTGAGGAGGGGGGGTCAGCCAGGCCTGGCAGTGTGTATCAAATATCAAACCCGAGATACAGATGAACTGAAACTGGAATTATGAATGCACAGCTACACAATTCTATCCCTCTTCCTTAATCATAAAAAACTTCCTTACTTTGAATGCATATAGCCCAGTTAGAATGAACTAAGATGTAAAGCATTAAGAGAACAGACAAGAACATACACAGATGAAAAATTCGTTTATGTGTATATTTGCACATGTCTATTATAAAATGATGCCTGCGGCACGTCGTCAGTACCTGTACAAATATCAAGCCCGTCCTCAGACAGGCTGGGTGCCGGTCTCGGCCAGCTGAAGTCCCAGTAACCACTGACTGACGTCTGAGAGCTAACGAGCTCCTGCCAGTGTAGGACTTGCGGTGGGAAATTAAAACACTCAGCCTACAGACAGCTACAGCAACGACCCCAGACCCCGAGCCGTTCGCCTACAGTTCTGGAAGCAGTGTTTCGCTCTGGCCAACATGCAATGCAAGCAGGTGTTTGTTTTGTTACAGAATGGCGTTTATCAAGCTTGCACTTTATTTAACGGGTGCTCCCGGAGGTCATGGCTGTTGTGAGCCGTGGAGCGGTTTTATTAATCCAGCGCCGGCGCGAAGGCCCGCGACACGGCTCGGAGACCAGCTACACGCCCGATTCGCAGGAGCAGGGCTCTGCTTGCACCGCTTAGAAAGAGTCAAAAACAACTGGGGGTGTTACATCACCGACGAAACCCAGTAAAGCAATTCACTGCGATCGATATTGAGCGACTAGGAAAAAATATTTATCAAGTGCGACATCAGAAAGAACTCTCCGCTAGTGTGGATAATAACTACAAACTACTGCATCCACCCCCGAAAATCACCTACCTCAATGGCTCCTTCGGTAAGTTTGACAGTCATAGCGAGCAAAAGAAATCAGATTTTAACCAAAAAAAACTCTCTTTGAAAACTCAAAGACGGGTGAATACGCCTCTCTCCTCTGCGGGTCCGTATTCCGTGGCGCCAAGTTTTGGCTGTAGAGCGCGCGCGGAGTGTGTTTATAACTCTCCCGACGTCACGCGCCAAATTCCGCCGGCTACGGCGGGTCTTGAGCATGCGCGGTCCGTGCTCGGCGGAGACGGTCCCTCCCCGTTCGTCGGATTGGCGGGGAAAGCGCTCCCGCGAAACGGGCGCCATTGTGGCTCGAAGCTATGTAAATATAAGGGAGATTGGAGCCAAGATGGAGGATCTCTCAAAAGTGGGATCTATCACCCTTGACCGGAGAGTGCTGCTGGGTTTGTAATGTGTGTGCCCCGCTGCATGCAGAGATGCAATAGCTAGGCGTTAGTTTTATCATTTTTTTCAAGAAACAATGGATTTGCCGTGCCCCGAGTGGCAGAGACATGTCGAACAGAAGTGGAAGCTTTTGCCTTCCGTCCAAAAGCAGGCGTTCACGTCGCTCACTGAGCCGGCGGAGATGTATGCTTTCTGCGTCACGTTGGTGAAGTGAGTACAGCTCGCGTCCTGTCTCTGTCAGTGTAGAAAGTCTTGAATGAAAGTGTCGCAAGTGTACCTCTGAATTATCCCTTTTGGGATCGGGCTCAGTCTTGCTCGTGTGCAAACTGCACGTCTAATTCATTAGCTGTTTTGCGCACCGTGGATAATCAGCCGAGGGATCAGTCCAAATCCTGTATCTGTGCAAAAATATTTACTTTTTTAAAGTTTACTAATAAAAAAAACTATAGCATGAATTTTGATTTTTAATTGAAAAAACCTGGAGTATGTGACAACTGTACAGTAAAAAAATGCTTGTTTGCAGATTATAATAATAATTGCTTACATTTATATAGCGCTTTTCTGGACACTCCACTCAAAGCGCTTTACAGGTAATGGGGATCCCCTCCACCACCACCAGTGTGCAGCCCCACCTGGATGATGCACCAGTCCTCTCCCCACACACCAGCTCTCAGTGGGGAGGAGAGCAGAGTGAT